TGCCTCATCTCATCTGATCCTCACTGAAGTCCTGGAGTAGGTAGATAGGAGACTCAGTGGAATCCTATTTTCTTTTCATTAGCCAGAAAATGGAGATTTAGAAAGTTTAGAAATTTGACCTGGCTGAAAAGAAGTAAGAAATGGTGAAACTTGAAAATGACTTCAGGTTTTCTCACTGTGCAGAATAGAGTCAAATACTTCTACCGTTAAAATATTTTATCCTTTGTGCTCCCTGCGTGATCTACAATAATAATCTGCTTTGTGTTGATATTTACTGCTTGTTGCTAACAATTATGTGAAAGACAAGTTGGGGTGCTTCACTGGGCTGGAAAAAGTTTAGCTAAATCAGAAAGTGGGTCTAATTAAGCAAGTTTATTCTCTATATATAAAAGGCTAAGTTGACTCACACATGCACGATACATAAAAAGCTCTCGCTGGCACCAATCTCACAGGTGTGTTTTGATCTGTCATTGTCGATCATGAATTTGCTTAACATTTCTATTATAGAGAAGGGGGCGAATACCGATATTAAAATATTTCTTCTAATTTCCTTTCAATGTGCACAAATTCGTGCACCAGGACACTAGTATTTAAATAAATGAAAGGGACAGGGGAGCATTTTAGAAGTTGAATTTGTCAAGGGCAGTGATAGGAATGTATATGGCATAACAGGAACTGTACGTCATGAGCCAATAGCTAAAGCTGTATGATGAATTGCTTAAAGACTAAATGTAGGCTATAGTGAGAGATTTGGGGGGCAGACATGTTATGATTATCCCTGATGGAGCATTTGATGGTAATCCACTGTTAAGAACTATGTAAGTAGTTTTGAAAGTTTCTTCTAATGTATAATCATGTACAGCTATCTCTATCTGATGGTAAAAACTATCTGACTTAAGAATGAAAAGTCAGGCTTTGAGATATATGAACTTTATGAACATAGATTTAGTTTGCGAGTGCTTGTGAACATATGAAAACTTTGATTTTTTTTTCTGCTGTTTTTACAGACATTTGTATGATAATCCTCTATCTTTCGTGGGGAACTCAGCATTTCACAATTTATCGGATCTGCATTCCTTGTAAGTATTTACATAAATTCTAAAACACACCTGAATGCTTATACAGTTCTTAATGGAAAACTAGACTTTATTACCATAGCTCCAGAAAAGAAACTCTTCTAGTGTCTTTTCCTTGGCCAGAAGTCCAAAGGATAATTCTGAAAATTTACGATAGTTTTAATTTATGTGAACATTTGGCCAAATTTTCACACTTTCAGGTGCATCCAAGAGATGAAAGCAATTTTATTTTTTAGGTCTTGTAGTGCTATCATCTTAAACTGCTTAAAAAAGAAAATGCAAATGTTGTCTCTGTGAATTTTTTATTTAAAACTATTTTTTCTCTCCTGATTTCTTAAAGAGTCATCCGTGGTGCCAGCATGGTGCAGCAGTTCCCCAATCTGACCGGGACTGTCCACCTGGAGAGTCTGTAAGTGTGGCCCTTGGCAGACCAGTTGCATAAAGAGAGCACGCTGGCCTGCTAGCTGTGTGCCAGTGCTTTTTGGTGATGACGAAGACTTTGTTGATTCCTACAATCTCCCTTTGTGAATAGCATGGAAATGGATATTGGGTTTGGGCTCGGTCGACCAAAGTAGAGTACTGCCTGGTGTGTGGAGCTACAATATGCAAAGGGCACTGCAATTAGAAGGCAGTAAGCAAGTGCCAGATCAGAAGCAGTGCTTCAGGGATTCACAAGTGGAGCTATCAATGCAGGCTATCAGAGAAGGCTTCCTGGAGGAGGTGAAATGTTTCAAAATGAAATACTGGCAGGTTTCCCAGCGCGGGGTTTTTATTTAGAAAGGCAAGATTTAGTTAAAGGATGGGGTACAGAAGATCACTTATAGCTAGAATTAAATGGGGCATGGTACAGAGAAATTTAGAAAATTGTTTCGGTCACAAATTTGAAATGGCAAGCCTTCAACACTGAACGTTTGGTTCTGGCAAAGCTTCCCAATGGACGGTCTGTAAATGGATTACACATGCAGCCAAGGTCTTGATGACTTCGGCCCTCGAAGGAGCCAGGTGGGGCCTGAGGTGGCCAGGATCTCCAGCCACATGGAGCCTTACCACATTATGCCACACAAATCTTTTGATTTTCATATGTGCCAAGATGTAAGAAAAAGAAGTTGAGAAGCTCTGAGCTAAGCAATTTAAACTTGACTCTTAAGGTCATTGGAGGTGTTGAGGATAATGGAGCAGGTCGTGTGAGGAGGAGAAGAAAGATTAGAGATAGGAAGAGTGGTGAGGAGGCCATGAGAATGATCCACTTGGCTAAGTGAACACATTGAACCATTGCAGTTCTTCCCTGTGGCCTGAGATGCTCCCACCCCTTTCTGCACCATCCCATCTTCTATCTGTATTGTAGCAGTAAAAATGGAGAGAGAACGTCAGATGCTGGAGACACTATAGAGGAAGAAAGAACAGGAATTGGTGGCTGACTGAAAATGGGAACAGAAAGGGAGGGGAGAAAGAGAAAAATGTGAGACTGTTGAGTCAGATTGACTGAAAGAAAAGACAGAAATAATGTTTGGGGGCAGGATGCCCCAATGTTTTGAGTATGAGTGGCAGATGCTGGGGTTGTGACAGAACTTGCAGGTGGTCATGGTCAGGCTATGACTGTGGATTGCTGTTTTTCTCTTGGTCCATGTGAGAAATCAAGCTTGTTGTTTAGATAATATTACCTCTAGTGTCATGAGCTTCTCTGATTTTATTATGGACAATGATACTAGTGTGGAGGGTTAATTTGTCTTCCCCTCGGGCCTAACTTTAGGGAGAATCAGGTCGTGGGATACATAGACTCTAGTCCATTTGCAAATAAGTGAGCATTTATTTTTCTACATGAGAATAGCATTTTTACCATCTCAACTTGAATAATTTCTTAGATGAGCCATGTTTTTCTGCAGGACCTTGACAGGTACGAAGATAAGCAGTATATCCAGTAATCTGTGCCAAGAACAAAAGATGCTTAGGACTTTGTAAGTTGGATTCTTCTTCCCTTCTCACACCTTTCTTTTATGTGCTTCACACATGTTGAGTTTTCTTTTTAATGAACTATTTTCGTTAGGTGATTTTAAACTATAATTATTTCTTATTTCCTTCATGGAAATGAGCGATCATTTTAATAGACCAGAGTAGGTAATGCGCATTTGAATTTAGTTTTAGGGTTATATATATCATTCATCTTCTGACTTTACTTTAAACAAACTAAAACCAAGCTAGGTCCTTCCTTGATTTTTTTTCTTGTCCTGACTCCTTGTTATTATTCGTTTCCCCAGAAGGGTCAGCTCTCCGTATCCTGCTCTGTCATCCGTAGCCTAAGCACAGCCCAAATCTGTATTAGATCAGGAACCAACTGAGCATGGAGCTTTCCAAAAACTTTAAACTGTCCTAGGAATTAAAAGTAAATAAAAGATGTGAAAATGTCACAAGAACGAATAATTAAGTTACTAAGTTGTTAATAAGTATTCAGTGGAGAGAGATAGTAACAAAATAAGTGACTGATTGATTAAGCAGGTAATTAAATGGTGTCATGGAGTATCAAGCCTGACAATTACCACTAAGAAAAAATTTCAGTGGGATTAACTGAGAGTTAAGTAGTCCCAATACTTGATTTAATATGTTTTTAAAAATATGACTACCACTCCTCTTATAGCTTTTTAATGAAATAACATAGAAATTATTTAGGGTATAAACAATATTGTAAAATAGAATTAAAAAACCCATAACTCTAGGACTTAAACGTAATTTTATATATTCCATATTATATTTTTATATTTAATTTTGTTCATTTTACATAACATTTAAAAATATATTTTATATTGTCTCTATTCAACATTATATACTTGAAGTTTGTAAAGCTTAAGCCTATTGTATCACTAGGTGCTCTAGAAGCTTACAAGTCTTAGAAAAAATATAGCTGCTTTTCTTGTTATCTCTTTATTAGAGATAATTAGCATTGCTTTCAATGCTTTTGAGTATAGCTTTTTAAATACAGTTTTCTGATAACATTAATTTTTCATTTCCATTGTTTTAAGGGACTTGTCCTACAACAATATAAAAGACCTCCCAAGCTTTAATGGTTGTCATGCTCTGGAAGAAATGTAAGTTGTTCTTTGACTTACTCTTCTTGCTGTGTGGTATATTGTTAATTCATTGAGCATTTCCCATTTTAAATAAATGGCTTTAATATTAAGAAATTAGATATTCATATAATCAGGTGTTCTTATGAATAAATGTCCCATTGTACCAGGTATGTTCATGCAACCAGTAGTTTTTAGACATCTATGTATTAGGAATTCTATGAGACACTATGGGGAGAGGGTGGTGCATACAAAAACACAAAAACTTGTCCTAGCTGTTGAGGGAAACCAGACCTGGGTATCTACTGTGTACCTATATAGGACATCTCTGATGGAAGTTAATGGGGAGGTGAGGAGGGGAGGGCGTCAATTCTCCCATTTTTTATCCCCTCCTTCCTCTATGGTACTCGGTGTGGTTGTGTTGTCTTGGATCCTTTCTCACTGTGTTGTCTTCCTTTTCCACTCCTGAGCAGGGTTGATGAGGAATTTAGATAATTATATATACCCCCCATATAATTTGGGGAGGAAATACCAATTAGTCTAACCATTTCAGGTTATAGATAAGTTTCCTTGATTTTCAACAAGATCAATCAGTTACTTATAAATGAGTATTTAAAGTTAGAAAAAGTTTAAGAAATATTATTTTTCAAATAGAAAATCATTTTTTTCTATTTTTTTCTTCTTCCTCCTCTTCTTTTTCTACCCCCTCTTTTCTCCCTTTTCCCCCTCCTTCTTCCCCCCTTTTCTCCTCTCCTTCCCCTACTCTTTCTTAACCCCTCCCTGCCCCCCCACACCTTCTTCCCTTCCTTCTTCTTCTAGTTCTTTGCAACGTAATCAGATCCGCCAAATCAGAGAAGGCACGTTTCAAGGCCTCATATCCCTAAGGATACTGTAAGTTTCTCTATGATTATTAGAGATGAGTAAATTTCCTGTCAAGCTATAAATTAAATATATCAGCACAATTCCCATTTTGATAGATATACTTAAAGATCTGATTTATTTTATGTAAATACTGTTCTTCGAACTTTACTGCATCGTACTTTACTATAAATAATGTATTTTCAGCATTTTTTGCCTTAGCCCATCTCTGATATTGTACATTGATTTAAAAAGAAGAATGTGTACAACCTGAGAGATGCACTTTGTTTTCAAGTCATAATAATGAGTTTATCCATTCATTAGGCCAGGGTTGGCAAACTGTAATTTTGGGCCAGATCTAGCCCGCCTCCGGTGTTTGTGAATTAGGTTTTGCTGGCACACAGCCTGGCCCCTTTTGTTTTAAGTATTATCTGAAGCTCATTTCACCATCCTGTGGCAGAGTTCAATACTTGCAGGACAGACCCCCAGAGGTGAAAAATATTTGCTTTCTGGCCTGCCCCTGAAAAAGTTTGTTGACCCCTGCACTGGTGTATCTATCATGACAAAGGTGGCTAACATGCAGCAGAAGCACACATTTGTAAAATTGATGTGTATTTGACCGTATATGTGTGCCAACGACTCTATGAAGTACTTGGTAATAGAGAGGTGACTGGACAATCCTGGCCATTGCCTTCCTGGAGCTGCAATGCAGGACACACACATCACTGAATTAGTGAACATTTGTTCAAGTGCAGAATGCATTAAAAAAATTGACAGTGAAGTGAACTTATGTATATTGAGTCCTGCTTTTCAGCAGACCCCCATTTAGAAATGAGAAATGCATTCTAGTAGAAAACATTGTATCGGTGGTGGGGTCGCCAGACCTGTCCTTGTTGCCGGCAGGCTTTGGGTCAGGGCCCCAGGAGGAAGGGGACTGGCTCCTCGCTGCCATCACTTCTGGAGCCCTGATAAGCGACAACAATGAAAAGCTGGCCTTTTTATGATTTGAAACCCAGTTTGTTGAGTTTTCCTGTTATCTATGAGACGTGTCATGGAATGCATTTATCAAATCTCTGAATTTCCAATCAGGCTCAGTTCAAGTGTGGTTGGAGATTATCTCTCTGTTTTATTATTTCTGTAATAGCAGAATTCCTCAGGGTGTGTTCCTCAATCTGTATGGTTCTGCTGTTGATAAGATGTTTA